TACTCCACATCCTAAGGGTGAGGGTAAAATAAGTTCCTTTTTTTTTTTTTTTTTAATTTATAGATTTACTTTGTTTATACATATATTTTTGATTCTTCTACTATGTTAAAAGGCCTTACTACACTGTCTTTTTGCTTTAACTAACCTCAAAATATTAACTAAAACGTTGCATCTCAAACCCAACATTTGTATGCGACTAGTGCTCCTTCCCAACATTCTTGTTCAGAAGCCTTCAAGCTTGTGGCACAGTATGTTTTCTATAATCCCATTTCTTTTTTAATCACATGCAACCCCTTTTTTGTATTCTATTGATGTTAAAAAGAATGAATGCAGCCCTTGCGCTATTAAAAACAAAAAGCTTCTTACTTTCAGGAATGCATTGGCAAGACTCCACAAGAACAAGATTTAACTTTTGAGCATGGCAGTGGGCATACAAGGCTAATGGGTGGTCCTTGAAAAAAAGAAAAAAGAAAACTCCTGTAATTCATTCAATAGTACATTAATATTATCTTTTACCTTATGGTTGATTAAATTCTTGCAAAACGCACAATGTGCAAGTCACAATGCATATGAGAAATATGGAAGTGTTGTTTGACTTTTACAAATTGTCATTTAAATATCTATTTAAGCCATACAAATTTTGCTAAAGTGTAAGGATGTCTTATAATTCATTGGCCAAATCTGAAACTCATTTGTTTTGCCTGTATGTGAGAAAGGATTCACAAAAAAATGTTACAGAATGAGTCAGTCTACTTTATAAATCAGTCGGACCAGCTGTGCCCTTAGACAAAGAAGGAATTATTATAAGAATTTTGCTCAAATAATCTAAATACAGATATTTTTTACAAGAAGTGTCCCTGCTAATTTTTCAGGCTAAATAGAAAAAAGCAAACCTTCCAAATACAGGGGGTTTTTGTAGCCTTTTTTCTGTATCTATAAACCTTGTTTTGTTCCACCTTCTGAATGATGTCACCCCTTTATTTAGATGACTTAATATGCTACTTAACTTGCCCTGTAGTCCAAGAGCAGCTATGGGAATAACATTGTTCTGGTAGCTACTTCCCCATTTGAAAAACCTCTTAAAGCTGTTATCCATCTGCATTTCGCTCATCGTGTGTGAAACATCTATACAGAAAACAGTAAGCTCTCTGTTTCTTACAGTTATATGCCAGACTACAAACCAATTTATACTTCAGCAGAATTAACCCTTCCTTAAATTTCTCATCTCCCTCTGGGGATTTTTTTGCAAAGGTTTTTTGAGGTCTTGGCTGCTTTGGGGGGATTTTTTTCATTTTTTAAATCATAAGCTATAAGAACCAATTTGGTATGATAGCTTGAAAGCATTCCCCATTTTTATTTCCTGGATGTCTAGGTGGAGAACTTAACCTTTTTTAAAAATTACTGACCGGGTCTGTGATAACTATCTACCTGCTTATTATTTGAAGATGATTGGTGAAATTATAATGATTGAAGGTTAAATATCGGTTTCTAAAAAAAGTTACAAGTTTGGGAGTTTTATTCTAGTTCAAATTATGTCAATTCTGAGTCTCATTTCTTATTATTCACAAACAAGTTTGTACTTTTGTCTAAGAAACTTAGGGCAAGTGAGACTATTTTCCCAAGTGCAGCGCCTCAACACCATTGTCCTCCACAATATAAACTGGATTTAGTTTTCCTCGTAACAAAATTGGGTTTTATCTCAAACTATAAGTCACTTTCATTTGGCATTCATTTTTTGTGGTACAAAGGGAAGGAGCCAAACTGGCACTAAATGAAGTCTGATCACAAGTATCTCAGCATGGAGGAAAAACCATTGGTTTAGTCCATTCTTGTCACAAATCATTGTGCTCTCATTGTAGGAAACTCCAGAAGCCACAGAAATATAAGACATATAGTTGCACCCTACTGCAGATGGTTTTATGGGGCATACAAAATGAAACCAGCGCTCTTCTCAGGCTAGGGTAACCTACACATAGTCATAGATGTGTTTACTCTAATTCTCAAATAATGAGGGAGCACTAATGATCTATGGCAAGAAAATGTAATCCTAGAAGCAGGGGCATCCAAAACTTACACACTATTTTAATGAAGAAATAGGGTAAAACTTCAATAAAGATATTTGTCCTTTCCAGGTGAGATACAAAATATTAAGCCAAATTAATTAAAGCTAGTACTGAAAAACTTCTTCAATTGTTTAAATAAAACTCTCTCAGAAAAGCTCCAATATACCGAAGAAAGTGGGAAAACGTCTGAAGGAGGTGTCATAGAAGTAAGTTGAGAGAAGAGTAATGAGAGAAAAGCATTTTAAAAAAAATACAACCAGGTTGAAAGAAATCAATAATGCATGAGTAAAATCCAATTTTTGTCTGAGCCAAGACATATGTTTCCTAATATTTGGAACTTTACCAATTAAATTTCAATTTAAGTTTTATTTCTCCTAACGATAGCCAAAATACCTTCAGCAAACCTAATCTAGTATTCTGACTTGACAAGCCCTATTATCTACACAACACCACTGCCATTAGCTCAATCCATTTCAAATCATCTTGTACAACTGAAAAATGAGTAACATTAAGATGAAAGATACCTGTTTAATTGTAACCAAAAGCATGCATAACAGCTTATACTGACTTCTTTTCCAATTGTATTCAAACATGTCTACAATCAAATCACATAGTATTTATATATACACTGCACAGCACACAAGACTACTTAGAAAATGGAGTATGAAAACTTAAAAATATAATTTCTAAAACAAATTAATACACTAATAGGTTCTGTATTATGAACTTACATGAAATACTAGCCTTTGTCATAACAATGGAAACAAAGGCCAACACTGAAAAACTGAGTCAGTGAGGTGATCCAAATACACAGACTCTAATTTTATAGCACAGTATTTTCAATGGCTATATCACTAACTAACAGAAAATATAAATGCTCTTGATACCAATCAGGAAAAAGCTGTCTTCATGTCTTTGAAGCCACTTGTTTCATGCAACTGTCTGTACCCACTACTTCAGCTGCTGACTGAAGGCTCCAGACTAAACCCCTGTGCAGGTAATAAAAAGAGAACTAATTGCACTAATAACTGTCTTTAAGGGTGGAAAGATGTCCTCAGTAAGAAAGAAGGAATGCTCCAAAAGAATGGATAGTCTTTATCACTTTGAAGGAAAAATGCTAGTTTCCTCACTACTGAATACAACAGAAATACCCATTTGTCTCTTTTGACTTCCCTTGCTCCTGATGAAATGGTGTATTTTTTTAATTCCTTCAAAGTTTAAAGAAAGTGCTGAACTGCAACAAGAGTGAAAAGAATCACAGGCATGAAGGTATAACCCAGCTACTCACCAATTTCATTAAACATGGTAGGGAAATTATGGAAGGTGTACAGGTAAAATAAAGCATTGTTTTGCATTCTCTGATAAGTGAAGTGACAAAAGGGATTTTGTGAGATCTTTCTCTCCCAGCTCATATTTTAAAGGGCAGAATCATTTATTATATGCAGTTAAAGAACAATAGCAATAGCCAAGGTTACTAGGTTTGGCTCAAGATCTGAGCCCTTTGTTCCCTGGTGTGCAGGACTGAGAGAATATATATAGCATCTTGGCACCTGCTGTTAGCAGCTACTTAAGGGAATTCAAAATTTAATTAACCTTCATAGTAATCCATAAAAGATGTTATGTAAGCTCAGAACTTCAGAATTTAGAGAACTTAAGGTTTCTATATTCCTTACCTCTCTACTTATTAATCCATGGACAAGAGACGCCAGGTGAAAAAATGTGCCCCACTTTCATGTAGGCAGTTGTTTGGAAACATTTTACAACATAAACGATTTATATGAATTGGGAAGAATCCCATGATTTGCATGTTTGCTCTTTTCTTAAAGCCTAAGGCCAAACTCCTCTGCTGACAAGCAAAACTTTCTAGAACTATACGGCCATCCAGTCACTGCTGTTCTGACAGTACTGTGAGCTGAAGCTCCCTGAGGCTCCACAACCCTGCTAGAGATGCTATTGCACAAGTGATTCAGTCTGCCTGTAGTTCTGCTTCCAGAGCAGAGAAAATGTCTTGAAGCCCCTCTGTCTACATAAATGCTTTAGAAAAGTAGTAATTTACGAGCAAAATGGGGGGAAAAAGTAGATAAAAGTAGGGTGGCATATGGCCAAACTTTTGACTTAATTTCACCACAGGTTGCTTTTTATTTATAAGAGGCTAATCCGCTCTCAAACCACACAATAGAGCAGCCATTGGCAAAGGCAGGCAGATAAAATTGGCATGCCTCTGTATTGTTCTTGTTAATCTGAACCATTAACAGAAGGGTGAGAAGGCTAGTTTTGTCATTTAAACAGGCTTAAATCCTTTCTCCAAATGAGCTTTTGTCTACACAGAAGAATTCATCCAGGAAATTTAAGGGGTTTCTGTTAGTGTTGCATTCTCGAGTTGACTAAACTACAGGAATACTAACCTGTTTATTTGGTCTTCATACTGTAAATGCAAAAATTATTGCCAGCTGTCAAAACCAAAAGGGGTTCAACCTGACTAAATTATTTCTCAGAGGTAAAACAGGATAAGATTATAAAGTGCTAAGAAGCAACTATTTGAAATCCTGAACTGCACCTGTGCAACTAAATCTCCATTTATACAGGTGCTTTTCAAATTGGATTTGAACCCTTAAATTCCCTGATTCATCCCCCGAAAAACCACAAAAGCTCAAATAACTAATGAAACTCAGAGACAGAAGGGCTTAAAATAGTTTCAAGCTGTGAAGTAAGGCCTAAGACTAACTATGTTCTTTGATTCACTGTTGATGTGACATATCAAGCATAAACATAAGTTGCACAATTCAAATGCCAGAGGTCATAGGGTAGCCAGTAGCTAAGTAAATTTTTTTTTTAGCACAGGAAAGGTCATCACCTGGCCCATAAGCACAATACACAGCCAAATACCTGAAATAAAAATGTATTGTTTAGCATGATCTGGTTTTGTTTTGATTTTACCTGGCACATCTTGCACAGATATTCAATGTGACCTTTGCTTGAGGCTCAGCCGTATGAGCACTTCGAGTTTGATTGAATTTGCTCCCAGAAGACACCACACTTGTTACTCCTTCCATTCTGAGATCATCAAGATCCTCTGCAACAAGACAGAACAATGGGATGAACACATGATTAAATTTTGTAGCAATAAAGGAGCCTCACCTGCAGTATCATGAAAAAATGGAACAGCTCAAAAATTGGAAAGAAGAGAGTTATACTTGCATACTAATAAGAAAAGACACTTGAGAGATTTTTTTTTTATATATTAGCCCCCTCTTACAAGGGGCTCCTTAAAAAATATTCAGTATAATTTCTATATCAAACCAAGCCCCATACTTTAAAAATCTTTATTTATCTGTTTAATTTCTAAAAAACTTGTCATCAAGAGATGCTGTCCAATAGCTCTTTGACACTGGGAATATTGAAGACAAAAATAATTTTTTGAGTGTATGCTACTCCTCTGTGTTTTTTTCATCATCTATTCACTTAGCAGTGAAAAAATATTGCTAAAATAAAAGTGTTCTGCTAAACCCAGAAAATGTTAAATGGACATATATATCATTATGATCATATATCATCATATATATCACATATATCTCATTGAAAGGGACCATAATGTGCATACATAAATCTACTATATTCCTGTAATATGGGCAACTCATAATAAAAACTGAATTTTCAACTACTGTAAATCTATTGACATTTTGAAAGGAGACAGCAGAGGGTCTCAGAGAACTTTTTTCCCAAGATGCCACTGGACTAGTGTATCTCAGCTAGACTGCGAATGAATTCTCTTGGTTTAGAGTCACATCATTAGAGATTAATCTCTATATTTTTTGGTAACACAAAACAGGCAAGTTCTCTATGCCTCATGCATTTATAAAGCCCAATTTTCAGTTGTTTATAACTTGATTAGACTCTAGCTGAAATGTAAACAAGTAAAGCACTGGCTAGCTTCTATTAAATGACCATACACTGACCATGTAACCACTCCATGTAGTGACTGATGCATGTGGTTTATGGTACACACTATGTTAGCATCTGATTAAAATGTCTTTCAGATATTCTATACACATGTATTTTCATATATTTACGTTTACAAAAGAAACCTAATGTTAAGGGATCTGAATGAAGCAGGAAGCACAAAAAGATTTTAAATCCCAATATCACATGGAGAAAAGTCACAGAGAACTTTAAAATCATAGGAGACATAGTATTTTAAACTCTAATTAATTCAATTAGAATTTAAAATACACAAGTAGTCATTATTGACACACAGTGGAGAACCAAGCTGCTTTTCATGTACAAAAGAATGACATAGAACCCCCCAAATCCTTACCCAAAATACTTTTGGTTGTCCTCAATAGTTCACAGACCCCACTCTGTGCATCAAACTCAGGGCAGTGTAGTCAGATTGTTGGGATTATTAACAACACTCTTTTGGGGAGACATGGATTTTAATAAACAACAGTCAATAACAGTTAGGCTGAACTCTAAGGAAAATTCTGAGGTCAAGGTCCTTGAACTACATTTTTTTCTCTGTAATGTTTTATTTTACTGCTTAAGAAAACTCTCCTCCCTACCACCACCCCCACACAGCCGATTTGTTGCCTTGATATAAATTGACAAGTGAACTAAAGTTTCTGGCATAATTTTACACAATTTCAACACCTTTTCCTTTAAATTTCATGTATGGTTAATACACAAACTAATTCAAAGGACCTGGAAGGTTATATGATAGAGAGCTATGAAATCAATCATCTATGAGTCATTTCAGAAAAGGTATTACATATTTGGAACACATTATGTATTAAAATAAATACAGTTTAATTGTGCTTTAAAGAGGTGTGAAAAGTTCCATATTTTTTAACAGATGTAAACCACTGGATGAATTACAGCTTAAAAGAAATTGAAGCATATGCCTCAGGTTTTTTCTCCCACAAAGCAGATGTGATTTCTTTAAATAAGGTTTTCAACTGTTCTCTGCCTGATTAACTTTTGGCTCTCTGACGACTAAGTGTTTCAACAAAGAATGATATAGGTTGCCCTCCATGATACCTTTTATATTTGAATTTGGATATCAAACCCATGCCTTTTTGTCATTTTTAGTTAACTACCAGCCTTTTTCTCTCAAAATAAAATTAAGTGTATCTTTGTGCAAGAAATGTGGTTTCAAGAGCTGCCTGTAGTTGTAGCCAACAGACAAGCAGACAGAATAGTATGCACCACTGATTTATTGTCACTTGCTGTTAGACCAACAGCAGTAATGTGCATACAAAATGCAATTTAAAATACCAAAAAACCTACATCATATACAACTGTTATTTTTCTCAAGGAATTTTAGTTGATCTAACTCAACATTGGATGGAATTTGTCCATGGCAAACTATAGAAAGCTTTTAATAATACAACTAAACAGGGAAGTGTAACTCCATCTACCAAATCCAAAGAATAACTGCAGCATTTGATTTAATTTGATTACTGCACCTCTGCATCAGCACAGAATGATTTCCATTTCTTCTGGATACTTCAGATTTACAGTGCAGATACTGAACATTTTCTCACTAAAGGAACTGGGCTTTTAAAAGCTGCCTGTTTTCCAACACCCATAACTTTGGATGGGAGTTCTGAGTTTGTAAGCAAGTTTATATGTCATCTTCCAGATCAATCCCATTCATTATTGAAGGCTTTTAATTAAAAAAAACAAACCAACAAAAAAAAAAAACCTAGCAGCAATAGAACAATAATTCATACAGAAATTTTAGTACTAAACTCAGACTGTATGTGTGTATATTGTTCAATAATTCATGTATGCTTTACAGAAAAATATTTGATCACAAATAAGAAAGTTCTTAACTACAATCAGTGAATGCAATAGTGCTTTTTAAGAGAAAACAAAAGAGCTGCAAGTATTCAGAGTCTTCTATTGGGAAGAACCAGTCTTAGCAAAATGGGATTTCATTGGAGAGTCAATTCAGTTACAGGGCCTGGACACTGAATCTTTTCTCTTTCTTTGTATTCTTTGCTAGACCAGCTAGTGATGATATAGCTGAGTGGCCCCGTAATTTTATCGAGAAGCAATGAGGTAACTCATGGAGAAAAGAGAGAAAGAAAAGTCAAGCCGGTGACTGCTTGTATCATGAGACAAGAATACAGTGAAACTTCTCAAATCCTTAGAAAATTGTTGTCTATCTCTGTATAGTTATAGGCTATAAGTTCACATAAATGAAACATAAGTTTGTTATTTTAAACCATGACTGTTCACCACATTTCTCTGATTTAATGTTCACTGTCTGCTATTCTCTAAAAAGGGTATGTGAAGACCCAGCTTTAGTCCTACAGCAATTGTCATTAAATATGTTGTGTGTTAAAAAAACTACATGTGAACCAAGCTGATTTGAGGAAAATGAACCTTACCTTTTCCTCAAATCAGCATTTTACCAAAATGAATTCACACAACTGCAATCTTTATGCTTTGCCAGAACAGCAGACAAAAATACTTGAAAGTGAGATAAAGATCACAAGTGTAATATAGCATAGCACAGAACCAGATGTTTTCTAGATTAATAATAATGCTGTGCTAAGTTTAATTCTTTGTGATTTTTTTTTATAGAAAACCTTAACCAAAAAGGGCAGGGGGAAAAAAGTTATGTACTTAAATAAGCAAGAATATAGCCCAATAACAAGGTCATGTTTTTAAATAGGTCATTGTTCACAATTATTTACTTCCTTTATTTTTTGTGGAGGAAGGGATGGGGAGAGGGAAAGGGGCAGTCCCTAGTGCTAAGTATTCCAGAAACCATGCAAGATTGCTTATTATCTTGGGATGACAGGGTGTGGAATCATCTTACAAACACTTACAAGACTTGCACACCATTCACTTTATGGACAGAGCTCTTCTTATGCAAAACTCCTATAAAATACAGTGAAAACTTACTTGCACAGAAGGCTCACATAATCAGATCATATGTTGTATTGTTTTATATGATCCAGTCATATTTGTCTCCTTCCTCCATTATAAAACATGTAGTAATTTCCCAGGAGTACTTCAAGAGGTATAAGGTTCAAAGCTGGAAAAAGTCTATGACAGCTCAGTTTGTCTGTTCAGTCTAATACTAAGAAAAGCACTAAATGTTTTCACGTGAGAGTAAAAATTCAGATAATGAATTCTGATTTATGTTCCTGCATGCCACCAGGCAATTCTGGTGCACCAGTGAAAGAATGTCTCTTTCTTTGAAGCAATGAATTCCTCAGGGTAGTGTTCTTACATTGTGGTAGACACTGATGTATTCCTTGTATATAGCATTGATTTGTCAAGGCCTGTTGGCTGAAGCACAGATTCTTAATATGCTCTACTAATCTCATTTGAAAACAAACAAACATACCCCCCCAACCAACCAAAAAAATGCCAAAATACAACAAATCAAACAAAAAAACCCCCAAAAACCCCAAATCAACAAAATCCTACTGCTGATAGAAGTTCTGTTTGCAGAATCTAAGCGGCTTTATACGTCATACTTTTATGTGTCTTATGTTAACCAACCCTCTTTGTTTTAGATAAATTATCTTGCCAGATATGAAGAGATTCCAATAAAAGACCATATTCATTCCTAACGAAACACTGGGGCAAGCAGGAATTAGGCTTTCAGACAAGGAAGAATCATGAACTTAGAATATCTGATGCTCCACTCCTGAAAAAGATATTTTAAATATTTGCTTCAACAGATGCAAAACTGGAGTTATCTTCTGCAGTACACTAACTACAAGACATCTCATTCTGGTTTTTTAATGCCATGGAGCAGACTATGCTGTTAGTCTGGTACATATGTTCTAAGATGTTTTCCCATAAACATCTTAAAATACCAGAATTTCACCTAGTTCAGACCCATCCATAGACTTTTGATACAAATATAATTCTAAATAAATACATCAACAGACTTTCACTCTTTAGGTGTATCTATCATTTTTGAATACAATGTTCTGACGACATCTTACTTAAGAAGCAACTCAAGCTGACAATAAATTCCCTAAACATTTGTGCTTTCACTGATGGATGCACAGAAATCCAACTGAAACATGATGCTGCTGTGTCATTGAG